TTATCTGTAAAATGCTAACAACAGCACCTGCTTCATAGGATAGCTGTGGTGACTAAATGAGCTATTCGTGTAAATAAAACCATAAATTTGTTTAATAAGGTTCCTGCTGGCATCTATTTTTAGGCCTGACATAAATTGTTTGAAACCTGGTCACCCATCACCTTTGGCCTAGTTAAAACTTCCCCTTCCTGTGTGGTTGTTTTCCATACAAGCTGCTTGTTCCGCATCCCATTGACACAAAACCCAACACACCCCACAGCTGCTGACCATAATAAAACCTCATGGTCAACGCCAGAGTCATGTAAATAAGTTCGTCCCTTTGCTTGTGTCTTCTTTAAACTAGCCAACCCACAATCCCAGTGGGAAAGCCTAAGGGGTAAGTCCTATGGCCCTTAACAAAGATGTGGCCCTACAGGTCGTTTCTCTCCCCCAACCCCCTTCTCTCTCCACCCGATGGCTGAGTCACTGCCACCTCCAGACTTCCTGTTGGCACCCTAAACCCTCTGGGACCTGTAAGTAATAAATTTGTGTAAGATGAATTTTGGTTTCACTTCCCCATTGTGTCTCACCTGATACACATCTGAACCTAAAGTCACCATCCGCTCCCACCCCCCATCCAGGCCTTCCCAGAGGGTGGCTGTCTTGGCTTATGGCCACTCTTAAGAGAGAGACCTCAAGACCAAATGAGAAAAAAAAATCATGATATATTTGATAAAGTTTTGCTATTTAAAGCTGGTAAAATAATTGAAATATATAAAAAGTATGGAAAGCATATGTTTACAGAATTCTCCAAAAAACTCTAAGATTTCAGGGCACATCATTTGGAAAACACTGGTTTGGGAGAAAATGAGTATGAATGTTTGTGTGGCTCAAAGCAAAATGATCTCCTTTGGCTTGCTTGCTCGGTTTGTAAGAAATGAAAATTATAAGAAAAGCTCAAAGCTAACAGCTTATTTTAGCTTCTGTCTCCCCAGCTTGCTTGCTTACAATATATAGCTTAAGTGAAGCCATGACAGGCTTTAGCGAGTGCTGGGCCTCAAAAGGTTAGAAAGAAATTAATTGGCCAACTGATATATATATATAAAAAATTAGCCGGGCATGGTGGCGCATGCCTGTAGTCCCAGCTACTCGGGAGGCTGAGGCAGAAGGATCGCTTGAGCCCAGGAGTTTGAGGTTGCTGTGAGCTAGGCTGACGCCATGGCACTCACTCTAGCCTGGGCAACAAAGCGAGACTCTGTCTCAAAAAAAAAAAAAAAAAAAAGGCGGTAACCGCAGGTCATTTCCTGATAAGAGGTTGAAAAGCGAGGGGGAGGGGGCCAAACACCAGATGACTCTGCAGTAAAATGCTGAAATAAAATGCAGAGGGAAAACCCTAATGCCAGAACCAATCAGCTGGTAAGAGGAACCAACCAGAGCCAACCAGAAAAGAGATGAAATAAACTGCTGAAGAAGACTGCGGGAGGAGGGAGGGGGGAAAACTACTTAAGGGATACCTGTAGCCCAAGCTGGGGTCCTTGTCAGAATAGAGGCAACTGCGATTGGCTCTCTGAGTCTCTGACCCTAGCTCGAGCTAGTCAATAAAACTCCTTTTGATGATTTCAGCCTCAGTGACTCTGTCTCTCTGTTCTGTGGTACTGCAGTCTCCCCGCTCTAACAGGTTTATCACAGAGGACGAGTGCCCAGCATGCACTGAAAGATGTTTTTTTGAGACAAAGTCTCACTGTGTTGCCCAGGCTAGAGTGCCGTGGCGTCAGCCTAACTCACAGCAACCTCAAACTCCTGGGTTCGAGTGACCTCCTGCCTCAGCTCCCCATCCCCCAATAGCTGGGACTGTGCCGGGCCCTGGGTCAAAGCATGGATGTAAACATTCCCATTTGATTATCAGAAAATGCCCAATGACACTGGTATTTAACCCCATTTCCAGATGAAAAAGTTGCAGCCCACGCCCCATTTGAAACTCTTTTAAGTGGAGGAGGCAGGTTGTGCCTGATTTGAGAGTCCACGCTAAATCAAGACTGGTCCGAGCCACACACACAAAACAGCAACCCACACTCAGCAGAGTACAAGTTTAGGGGAACACAGAGACCTTCACCTTGGCAATGTTTACGCCTGCTCTCCAGAACCCAGAAAATAAATCACTTCCTTGGGGAGTGGGGGACAGTGGGGGCAGGGAGGCTTTTGCCCTGCAGGCCCAGGTGGCTATTTCTCCTTGAATCTCAAAACACACAGGCTGAGGTTTCTCTCCACACAGCACTTCCTTCGTCTCCCCCCACCCCCACCCACACCCTGTACTTATTAACACCACAGGCTTACACAGCACCTTTTATTTTTAGGATCTCAAAATGGTCGAACAAGACATTTTTCTTATTTTCATGTGCTTACGGCTGGGGAAATCAGAATCACAAAGACTATTATGATCATAATGACTCTGAGGGTTATGCAACAAAGCCTTGGAGGGGAGAGGCCCTGCGGGGCTCCCCAGCTCTGGGGGGAGGAGGGAGGGGGGAGGGACCTGGTTCAGAACCAGGAGCAGAACACAGCTGCACTCTGCTGCCAACCCCGCTGGCCTGGCCCTGGGACTGGGGGGCTGCTGATCTGAGAGAGAGCTGCTGCTTCCTACCAGGGGCATTGTTGACAGGCAGGGAGGATGACAGCTGGGCTGCTTCCAAGCGATGCTCGTCTGCATCAGCCACTTTAACAGTAATTTAAAATGCATTTCAAATACCAGGAATAGCAGTTTGTCACTTTCTCTGTTGTTGTTTTTTCCCACAGACATATTAATATGGATGTGGCTAGCAGGTTCCAAGCTTTGAATTGTGCTCATTAAGTCACAGCTGGCTGGGAATGCGTGTCAATCCTATGCCTTTATTTCTCAAGCCGGTCTGATAATGAAATTAAAATGGACTCCTCCAGACATCCCTCTCCCTGGAAGCAAAGCAGCTTTGCCCTCTGGGGAGCGGATACTGTGTTCTGATATGTTCTTTTCTCGGAAGAAATGCATATGTATTTTCGGTAATTAAAACATTTAATTTGGTGATTACCCTCACAAAAAGAAACTGCTCAAATTAACCCTGATGGGGGAACATTCCATCCAGCTGTTCAGGGGTGCCTTTCTGCCCCCTTCCTTGCCCTCCTTCCCTTTAAGGAACAGCCCACCCGCTTGGATGTTGCCTTGTCACTCACCACATCCCTGTGCTCTGAGTGCAAGTGCTGGCCAGATGGCCCCAGCATTACTCACTGTCCTCTGCTGAAATGCATGGTTTGATTTCTGAAACTCAGTATTTATTTTTAAAAAGAGCTAAGGAAAAAGCTGATTCATTGTTACTTGAGAGGAATTCCTTTAGGGAAGATAATATCCTTAAAGACAACCAGACGTTTCATGAAAAACAGTTTGGCTTAAGTGAAACTAGCTATATCAGGTGAATTCACCTGGGGAGCTTCTTAAAAGAGGGGTTTCCTGGCCCCCAGCCTGGCCCTACTGAAACAGGGACCTGGGCAGGGGCCCAGAAATTTGGCTTTTCAACAAGCTCCCCAGGTGATTCATGTACTACCTAAAATTTGGGAGCTGCTGAGATGGGGGACACCCACTCATCAGCAGCTCGGGGTTGGGGTGTAACTGTGAGTCAGTCATGGAGCGACGGGGTCTGACTTTTGATCGCCTGGCAGCCTGTGCTTCATTTGGAAATGACAGATTAGAAAAGGATGTGCAATTAAGCTTTTCTCGAGGCAGTTCATCAGTTCACCTCCTCTTGTACCTCAGAGCCAGCCTTTGTGTCCCCGGGTCGTCGGGAAAACCACTGAGACTCCCCACGTCATGTGGGCTGAAGGGTGACAGAGCAGAAGCCCTCTGATGTCAGCCAAGAACAGGAGAACAGGCCAGGCGAGTCCTGCAGCCTCACCCAGCTGGGCTCTAACGCCCCGAGGCTGCTGAGGAAGAGCCCAGCATATCTGCAGCCGTGTAGCTGTGGTTTCTCAATGTCACCTCAAGCCCAGCCTGGCTACACCAGAGCCATCTGGGGAGCTTATGTAAAACATAGATTCCTGGGCCACTGAGAAAGTGGCTTGGAGGCTGGGCCCTGAAATCTGTATCCTCCCCAGGGTCTGGGAACCACCAGGAACAGACAGCACCGCTGGTTGGATCGTAAAGTTATTAGAGATGAACCCACAGAGAAGTGGATACATAGGAAAGAGACAAGACCTCCGATGGATGGCATGGGGCATCTCCCACAGGGCCTAATAAGGGGAAGGCAGCCAATGAGGACTGGACAAACAGACGTCCCTTCCGCAAAGGTTGTGCGATTCGAATTTGTTTTGATCCCATTTAGCACCAGGAGCACCCAGAAAATGATGAGGAGGGTGGGTTGGGGAGGATTCTAATCGCACAGGCTGCTGACTCTCATGAGGGATTTTTAAAAAGGGGATATTTGCAGTGATGTGCTGTGTGTGGGTAGTGGTGGAGGGGGGAACCCTGATTTGTGATGTTTGCACGTCATTGTCACCAATATGAGATCACCTAACGTGGAATCAGGAAGACGCACGCATCATTGGCCCCTCTGTTGGCACGTGCCTGCTCCAGCACACCTCTGGATAGTTCCCTGTGTTCAAAGGTCTTCCCGAAATTATCCAGCAGTTTCTGCAGCAGCATCGCCAAAATGTGCCCATACTGGAATTCCATAGGGCCAGGCATAGGCAGAGGAACTGGGGCCCAGAGCTCCCTGACTGCGCAGTTGGCAGCAGGTTTCTCGCAGGTTTGGGGAGATCCACTTGTCATCATGGCCAAGTTCCTGCTCTCTGCACCCAAAGCCAGCAGCCTGCCTAAGGCAGAGCCCGGTTTCCTAAGGAAGTCGGGACGTGCGGAGGAAGCAGGAACCAGGAATTTCAGGTGGGGAAGGGGCCCTCTTTGAATCTAGCTCATAATCACTCAGTAAAGACAGTTCACAGTAAAGGAAATGGAGATGCTGCCCCCTGTCACAGACAGGCAGATTCTTCACAATTAGCGGCAGCCAAGGCAGAGGGTAGATTCTGCACCACCTGAAATAGAGGAATGGAAAATATTCAACTAATCATTCAAAGTTGTGTCTAAGGAGCCATGACGCTCGGTGATGAATTTCAAGCACTTTTAAAAACTGCTCGGGGGAGAGATGTAAAATCCATGATGGTCATAAAATTAGCACATATTTTCCCAAGTGGGTTAAAATGTGTTAGATAAGTTAATAGGAGGGAAAGAAGAGGTTTCTGGAAAATACCTCGCTTGTGTGAGTGAAAAACACAAAAATGTACGGGGGGCTTGGGAATACAAAAATCCAGATTCCCGGTTTGGTGGGAATATCTTTCCCCTTCTCAGCCCTCCTGGAGTGCTGTTTGGCTCTGAAACTAAAGCTGGCTGCTTTGTGCAACTCTGTTCCTATGTTCAAACAGATTGGGTACGAAAAGTGAGGAGTCAGAGGACAGCAGAACACATGGGCTGCTACGCTTTCAAGTCTCCCGCTGTTGAGAGCCCCAGTCCAGAGTATGTGGGTGCCCTTTGGGGTGGGGGAAGGGTAAGCTAGGATAATACTATTTTAGTTTTCAAAAGATGAGATCCTGCCATACAATGTGCTATTAAAAATATTCGCTCCTGAGATTGGCTGACAAGCAGGGGAGTGCTGGAGCCAGCTCACCTTGGCTCGAAAAAGCCGATGGTACACATCTCATCTCAACTTGATGTGCAGTGATACCACACTGATAGCTCGATGTCGGCCATCATTGTGGGAGTACTTATACCATGGTAATGGGCAAATCCTACAAATCAGGCCGTTTGTTCCTGGAGAGCTGGTTGTTAAAGATTTATCATCACACAGCTGCTGGCAAGTCATCCTCTTGAGAGGATGGATCACAAGCATGGGTGTGCGGCAGCTCGGGCTGCCATAACAAAATATTAATACCACAGACTGGGTGGCTGAAACAACAGAAATTTATTTCTCACAGTTTTGGAGACTGAAGTCCAAGATCAAGATGTCAGCACGTTTGGTTTCTCCTAAGGCCTCTCCCTTGGCTTGCAGGTGGTTGTCTTTCCTACTGTGACCTCATGTGGCTTTTTCTCTGTGCACACACATCCCTGGTGTCTCTTCCTTTTCTTATAATGACACCAGTCATTGGATTAGGGCCCTGTCCTTATGACCTCATTTAGCCTTAATCACCTCTTTAAAGGGCCAAACTCCAAATACAGTCATGTTGGGTGGGCGGGTAAGAGATAATTCCATCCATAACATCACAAGACAGGTACTTGGGGAAGATGCATTTTATTTTCCAGGAAGTGGTATTTCAACTCCACTTCATGGAGAACAAGAAATTTTATAAGAGAAACAAAAACTCAGGCATTAGGAATGTTCTGGCTGTACCCTGGGTCTCCTGGGCCCAGAGGTACCCCCCGGAAGGTAACTTCAACAGTGACCAGCCACCTCTCTTTGCATGACGTCCACAGGGCTGAGCACCTCGGCCTTCTGCTGGCCTTCCCCAGTTATTCCTGGGAGCTCTGCAGGGATGTCTCTAGAAGCTCACAACAGCCCTTGCCCGTCCCCTGCTTCAGCTCACTTTGTGGAGGTTCCAGCTCCTCTAGCCTAGACTTCACTTGTATGTTTCTGGTCCCTTTCCCAGGGCAGTTCTCTCTTGAGGACTGTGACACCCTCGCCAAGGATGCCTGTCCTGGGGCTTCCGGCAGTGGTGCTGCCTCTAGCAGCTTCTCTGGAGCAGCAGTGCTCCTAGGTGCCTCCATTAATACCACTGGGACGCCCTCCAGGTCAGCTCGGGCAGCCGGGGCCACTGTTAACAGGCCAGAGCTTTGCTCTGTTCGCTGAAGCACCAAAGCTGTCCCGTGTTTCACATCAAGGTTGGAAGACTGGTTGGAAGCCATCTGTCTGGGGCACCTCTGGCCCTGGCGACTACAGGCGGGGCCCTCTGTGCACTGTCTTGCAGAGAGCCCTAGAGGAGGCCTGCGTTCTCATAGCCACCTCTCGGCCTGACCTCCTTGGGTCACAGGTCGGTTATGGTTTCCCAGCATCTCCCACATGCGATTTTCTGTTCCCCACCTGCTATACCCACCACGAACCTCAGTTCATTCTTCGGGTTTTCTCAAAAAGAAAACAAAATAAAAAACACTCCACTTATATAAGTGATCTGTGAGATGTGCTAGAGATTACTGAACATGTAGAGGGGTATGGACGTTTATAACACAGCAGCACAAATTCAGAATGAGATTGCACATTCCCGAGTCTTAAAAATAACCCGCCTCTGATTGTACACAGGTACATACACTTTGAAACACTGTTTATCAGTGTCTAGTAGAGCTGAACAAATGTTTACCCTGCAACCCTGCAATTCCATTCCACAAAAACGCCATGAATGTTCACCAAGGCATGCACCAGAATGACCACAACAGCCCTGGTCCATAGTCACAAAAGGAAAATGCCCAAATGTCTGTCTCCAGGGAAAGCGTAAGTAAGCTGTGGTATATTTATGCAATGGAATATCATGCAGCAACAAAAATAAATGAAATGCAGCTACAGGAAACCCCACAGATGGGTCTCACCTCTAATGTGAGTGACAGAAGTGAGCTAGGAAAAGGTGGGTTTTTGTGTATTTCCATTTCCATAAAGCTCAGAACCAGGCAAAACCAACTTCAGGCTCTAGAGAACAGGATAGTGGACCTGTGGGGGGAGGCCAAAGCCCGGGGGTGGGGGTCGCACGATCGGGACCTTCAGGGACGCTCTGGATGTCCAGTTTCTGGGTGCAGGTGCTGGTTACGGTGTGTTCACTCGGTGAACTTACGATTCCTTCCCTCTCCTGTATGTATATTTGTCCTCAATAAAATTTACATTAAATAAAAGAAAGCACTCCTGCCACTGAGGGATTTCCCACTGGCCGTCTTCTGTCTCCTCCTTGTGCCCTGCGGGTCCTGGTTGTCCTCTCTGGGGCACAGGAGGTGAGCTGCCTCCGCAGGGTTCACTCCTCCAGACCCCTTCGCCACTTTCTCTTCTTGAATAAAGACTGTCCCCTCCCTAAGAGAAATCCTCGTGTCAGCTTTTAGGAGTAAACTCTTCGCCCCGCTGGATGTGTTATGAGTCCAGGGCGGGGCAGGGCAGCCCTGACAGTGGCGTGTGGCGGTTGTGCCATGGGGAGCCACAGCCGTGCTGCTGTTGGGACTCAGAGAACAACACCCCAAACGAAGGCCTCTGAGCAGCCTCAGAAGCAAGAGTGTCTCTCTGCCCTTCTCCTGCCCTCCTGTCTCCCAGTGCCATTCTCCCCCGAGGCTGGCCATAGAAACTGGAATCCCTCTTCCCCCAGGCAGGTCATAGAAACCAGAGCCTCTTTTCCCCAAAGCCAGCCATAAAGCCTAAAAATATTACTCTAATTCCCCTCTGCCTTTCTGCGTAAACACTGGCTGTAAAGAAATTATCTGACCTTCCTTGTTTAGCTGTAGGTCATAAGACCCCACTCCAGAGAGGGTCCCGCCCCACACCCAGGAGGAAGGAATGCTGCTCAGAGAGGCCAAGAAGAATCTCGACAGACAGGCCTGGGTTTCCCTACTCTGTCTGTTAGTACGAGATCACAGGCCTTTTGTCCAATCATACTTTTACCCAGGTGGTCACACTTTGTTGAACTTAAGCATAAAAACGGACAATTTCTCTGTGTCTTTGGGTCGTCATTCAAAAGGCTCTTGGGCACACGTTAAATAAATGTGTGTGCCTTTTCTCCAATCGGTCTGCCTTCTGTGAGCTGATTTTTCAGCGAAACTTTGGAGGGCCGAGGGGAGCTTTTCCCTTGGCCTACACCACCGCGTGGTCTGTCCCCGAGCGGCCTTGGAAAGTTACTGTGCTGCTCTGCGCTTCAGATTCCTTGTCTGAAATGGTGACAATGGTACCACGTACCTCGAAGGGCTGGCAGTGAGGCCCCAAAGCACAAACACCTGCACCTAGAACACTGCCTGGTATATATAGCCATTGTTACTACTTCCAACCCCTTGTCTTACAGAATCTTTGACAAAATGAACTCTGGTTTGTTTTGTTTTTTGGCTTTCATATGCGTGGCCATCTTCCTGTACAAAGACTCCAACATGAATCTATGCAGGGGATGGGGTGGGTGTAGACTGGGACCAAGAATAAAATCAAGCCATAGGCTCCATGTATTCAGAGGCTGTATTCAGAGGCCAGGCTTCCCTCTAACCTGAGTATTACACTCCTTCTTCCTCTAGATGAGTTCTTTCTCAAGGAGCAAATGGACCTGAGCTGGATCTACCAGCCTAGTCCACACGTTGGGCCAGACCCAACTCAATCCTAACAGGATGGCAACTTGGCTGAAGCTGGGATCTTGCTACATAGGCTTGTAAAACTTCACTTATCACTGGTAAACTTCTCCCCTCCTTTCTTTCACAAATCCATGTGCATGTTCACATGCGTTTCCACAACTGGATTTTGAACTTTCAACTCCTACTTCTTACTCTTTGAGATCCACAGTTGCTACTGACCTTTTTTCTCCCACCAGAGATCCTAGGACTTCCTAATGCTATTGACCTTATTTATCACAGCTCACTGTGACTGTGAACTCCTGGCCTCAAGCCATCCTCCTGCCTCAGCCTCCCAAATTGCTGGAATTACAGGCATGAGCCACTGTGCCAACTGCGCCCAACCCTACCAGCTGCATTTTAAGGTTTTTTTGCTAATGACTTTTGAGATGTTTGCTAAAACAAAGAATGAATGGCATAACAAATGAGCAAACTGTTAAAACAGGAGTGTCCTCATCCTCCTCATTGGAAAGCATTGAAGCAGGACCTAAAAGCTGCGAAGGACCAAGAGTTCCACTCTTAAAGAAGTTGCTCCACAGTGGCAGCCTCAATTTCCAAGTTCAAGCTCCTGCAATCCATCCCAGAATACCAAATTCCCAGAAGAAAGGACCTGGCTGGCCCAGTTGTTGCTGGCGTTCTCTCTTGGTGCAGAAACTTGTGTCCAGGCTGGGAACAGATCATGTCTTAGAAGGATGGCCTTCCAACCTTCCCCCTATAGGTGGGGGGTTCAGTGTTTAGAGAAAGGGATCAGTGGGCAGGCAGATTCCCCCAAAGCTCTATAACGGAGTTCAGCACCGGAGGCTGAATTAAATGTTTTAGGGAAAGTGTAGTTATCATGGCTTTGAGGCACTAGTTAGCTTCCGGAACTATGAATTACAGCACTGAGTCTCACACGGGACCCCAATACTCCTCAGTGGTATGTGAGAGGTCTTGCTTTATCAACTACACATCTATGTAAGGCTGGATATTTTCCTTTATTTAAACCAAAACAATGTATTGCAACAGATTGAAGGCAGAAGACATTTCGGCTGCTCTTTCTAAAGCCAGACATTAGAAAGATTTATAAAAATGTTCGGCAATGCACCTGTTCTCAATTTTTTGTTTCTTTTGGAAAACATAGTTCCCATAAAGATATTATTTGTATTAAATTGTAATGGATTATTAATTTTTAAATTAATACATATTTTGTATGTATTTCTTTGGTTTTAATTCCTAATATGGTAAATATTGATAGATAAAACCCACATAACAAAAAGCTCATTGGGGTCCTCAATATTTGTTAAACGTGTCAAGTAGTTTTGAGGCTGGGAAGTTTGTGAGCCACTGAATGAGATCAAGAAGACAGGTTCCACATTTCCTTCACCCTCCTCTCTTCTGTCCTCTCCTCCTCTATGAGCCATCTAGTCCCTTAGCTCAAAGGGACCCTGGGTCTTGGCCTCCCTCCAGCTTTTGGCCTCAGGAGTCCCACCTTGTTCTCACTCTGCTGGGCTCCCGCAGGGAGCTGGGAGTCGGGATTAGAACATACCTCAGCACCTGGAAGCTTTCCCTGGAAAGCTGAGTCACACATAACATTAGGTAAGAAAAGGGTTTGGACTCCACGTTCTCTGGTTAAAAGCAACCCCAGCTGGAGGTGCAAAGTTCAGGCAGAGAATCTACTCCCTGTGCAGGGAAGCCCCAGCAGAGAGACTCCGTGTTCTTCTCTGCGCAAATGTTTGTTCTGAGTGTTTGGAATGAAATGACAATGACAATTCAACTCCTCTGTAAAAGAAGCGATCCACGCCATGTGAGGGAAAGCATTCTTGGTAAGAAAAGTTACTCTGGGAGAGAGGAAAACCTGCATTGCTGAGGGAGGAGACAGGGCGCTAATCACCGAAGGTGTACTGACAGGTGGGGCCACAGCAGAAAAGCACATCACTCCATTTGAATAACAAAATGTGCAGCAAGTCAAGCTTTAGGTGTGTGGATAATGGGAGAAGCAGGAAATCTGAAGTCCTCATGTTTGACTCTAATCCCTCTTTTATGCTTAAGGTCAAAGTCAAGAGAAATTTTCTTCTCCAGGGTCATTCGTCTTCCCGGGCAAAGAGACTGGAGGCTCCCTGCCTGGATGAAGCCCTGGCCCTGCCTCTTCCTGACGGAACTCTGCCTTGGTGTCCTCATCAACGAAATGGGGATAACAATAGTCCCATGTCACGGGGTCATTGTGAGCATGGGCCTGGCACACACTCAAGCATCATTAAGTGTGAGATATCATTATTATTCAAGTAAGCATCTATTAAGAGACAGGCGGTTATGGCGATGGTGGTGGTAGGAATATAAAAATTCCCAACCCTCTCGAGCTGATGAGGCCACCACTGCAGCAGAAGCTAGCCCTTCTGTTCCTGGGGGGACATGGAAATGTGCTCTTGCAATTGAATGACTCCAGTGTGAAGTTCAAGGAAATTTTTTGGTCTCTGTCCACATCAAGAAAAATCCAGATTGCTGCTGCTGATTTTTCTCAGAGAATTCATGAGACTGAAAGGTGGGGAGGGGCAAGGGAAGATGAGGAGGTGGGAGAAAGAGAAGTTAGAAACTACAGTTGTCACAAAGAATTCAGAGTGATAAGACTCCTTACTGACCTTTATAGCCAGAGGGTGGAACACAAGTTTGCACCCCAGAAAAGTGTTCAGTCCCAGGCATATCAGGATGGTTGGTCACCCCCATCTACTCCTCAGATCTTAATTTGACAAATTTATTCATGTATTTATTTGGTATGTAAAATTCCCAGGGCTCCTTCTCAATGACTGAATGATTATATTTGCTGAAAGAAAAAGGAAAATACATCCTGAGCTACATTCTGGCTTTCAGACCCTGCCAGGCAAGAGCAAACCTCCCTGCTACAGCAACTTGGACTTTCAAGTTCACTCCCCTTGGGTGCAGCTCACTCCTCACCTTATTCAGCAGGAGGATATTTGTTAATGACCTTGTGGGGCAGGGAGGTAAGAGGGAGAGAAGATGCATGAGCCAATGTGGTTGGTTGTAGGAGGATGGGCCACCCAAGCCAATAAGTGGGCGCCTCAAGCCCCCTTTTCTTCCCTGCTCATCTGCCCAGGGTGCTCTAGCAGGGATTCTCTGCAGAGTAGGAAGCTGTCTGGATGACTGGGGTTTCCCAAAGCTACAGTGCTGAGATTCTGGCCCCAGTGAAGTCCCTCTTGCTCTAGGGACAGTGTTCATGGATGGGTCTTCCTGGCTGTTTCTAGTCATTTTCCCTAGTTTGGGTCACCATAATTGTCCTGTATCTACAGGGCCTTCAGGAATGGCAGCTGCCCTGGTGCAGCTGCATGTGGGTTATGAAGGAGGAACTAGACAAGCATGGGGCAGTGAAGTCGCAGCTGACTTACAAGTTCAGCCTGGAGTGGCCGCTGTGGATAGGTCCAGGGGGACAGGCTGTCATCTCATTTGGGTTCTTTAGATATAAGAAACAGAAACTGACTCAGTAACTTAAGAAAAAAAGGAACTTTTGGAAAGATTTGGAGGCGCTCACAGGCCCCCAAAAAAGCTAAGGACCAACTTGAAAATGACAAAGCAGGTTAGGGACTAAGATGTCACCTCATCAGGGTCCACTGTCAGAATGAATCAGCTCCAGCTATCTTCAGGCTTTATGTCTCTCTGCTAAAGATCAAATTCCCAGAAGAGAGTTGGATTGGCCAGCTTTGGCTGTGTGCCTGCCCTGTGGCTAGGCAACTTTATTGGCAAGTATCTAATGATGGAGGGCAGGAGCGGAAGGGAGAAAGTTATTTTACCAAAAGAAGGTGCCATGGATGATGACAGGCCAAACATCAAGATGTCCCTTCCAGGAAGGCTTCCCCAGTGGCATGCTCAGGGAAATGGTCCTGAGGCTTACTTGGATTTTAGAGGCAGGGGCCAGAGGTGGGCTTAGCAATTCAGTGCAAAGCTGACAGTGCTGGACAGTACAAGATCAGAAAATGTTTCATTATAAAACTGGTGATATTCTTCTTAAAGAAACTTATAAATCACAGAAAAGTCTAGAAAAGAGAATTTTAAAAGCTATCTGTAATTCTACTAGAGATAACCACAGTTAATTTTTCAAGCTCTTTCTCTCCTATGGGTTATTCTGGACAGAGTCGAGGTCACACTGTGTGCATAATTCTGTATTTAATGTCTAAGCACTGTATACTGATCCAGCAAAGGTCAGAGGAGTGTCTCTGTAACATTGGCCGAGTGGATGGACTTGACCTAGAGCTGGTTTACCTGGAGGAAGAAGCAGAGGGGACCTTCTTTGGCCCATGGCTCCACCAACACTGGGGACCAAGCAGGTATTGCCCAGCCTGGGAAGCTGCCAAGGCCTGCCCTCCACCCCAGAGAGGTTCTATCTGGATGCCAGCCAAGGTGGATGGGAGCTTCCGTGGACACAGTCCTGCATATGGAAGGGCCTCCACCTCCACACTAGTGTCCACAAACACTCCTTGTGTTTATGCTTCAAGAAACTGTGACTGTAGGCCATGTTTATGGGTTTTAACAGGTTCTGATGAATTTCAACATTGTCCTTCTGACGTGCATAGATCACATTTCCATCTGACCTTTAAGAAGACACTACCTTTGTTTGGTCACTTGCAATGATGTCAAGACTACACAGGCAGTCTCCGGGTTACTGATGAGATATGTTCCTCACAATGTCTTTAGGTCAGATTTTTGTGTAACTCGGATCCCGGATGAACAGAGCATATGTGGTAATAATAACAATACTGCAATGGCTCATATGTGGTAATAATAATACAGTGTCATACTGTAGTAATAATAATAGTTCTGTACTGTAATCATAAGTTACAGAAACTATTGTGCTCCTTCTAAATCAAACAAACAAACGTAAAAACAAACTCACACACAAAGTTTGGATAGGAGAAATTTCAAAAAAGAATATTAAAGGTTAACACCTAATGTTACATCAATCTCTTGCTTACTAGAAGGGCTATTATTCTTAATTTATAAAGAAAAGAAATGTATTTATTATAGTTAAGTAGGCTGATAAGTCTATTGTCTTTCTCTTTTCTTTTTCTTCTTTCTTTTTTTGTTTGTTTTTTGTTGTTGTTTTTTACTTGGAAACCATCTGTCTAGAATAAGCCTATTGTCAGAGAGTCACATGTGGTGAGGGCCTCCTTGCTGGCTGAGACTCTCTGACGAGTCCTGAGGCCCTTCAGAGGGTCAGTTGGCTGAAGGGCTGAGCGTAGGGGCCTTTTTGATTCAGGACCGTAGCTGACATTGGTCACGATGATGGACATTATGCTGGAGAGAAAGGGATGGGTGCTAGAGGGTCAGGATTTGATTCTGTTGCTGGAGGGAGGGAGCTGACCACTGAAGTCTGTTTCTTGAAAAAGATATCTAGGGTTGTTGGCACAGACTTTTTCTTTTTTTCATCATAAATGGCCTTGTAGCAGCTGATGTTCTCATTAACTGCACAGTAAACCTTTATAAACCGCTCACTGTTGGGATCTGGCTTCTCAAGCCTAGCAAATCCTGCTTAAATGAGACAAAAGCCTTCAGATAATTCTTTTGCCATGAATGTTCTTGGCTCTGGACCTTCTGATTCTTCATATTCTTGTGTTTCTATCGGCTGCTTCTCTGTCTACCTATGAGACTAGCCTAACCCATAAGGACACTGCGTCAAAAAACCACTTACGTCATGCAGGATTGTTTACATTCGAGGAAGAAATTCGTTCCCGAATTATTAATTTAATTGTTTAATTACAAATTTTCCTTGTTGGGGGCCTTGGGAGCCTATTTGTAAGTACAGAACGCTGTTAAGTCAGGGCATCTGTAACCCGGGACTGCCTGTACTTCATAATGAAAAGTAAAATCACTAGGCAGGTGAGATAATGGAAGAATCCACATTTAAATATAGATATAACCACCTTAATAATGTGCTGTGTATATACGGATGTGTGTATTTAAGATCTTGAACTTGTGTATTTAACAATCTCAAACTGAGAGCCTGTCTATTTCAACCTTTGCTGACATTTGCTAAGGGATAGAATTCAAGGTGATATAAAGAGTTCAGAAGTCTATCTACTTGGAGCTAGAGAAATCTGCACAACTGCAATTAACTCTCAGGACAAAGTAGGCCATGGTCCTATTAGCAGAGTGTACCCCTCAAAATTAAAGCACTGTGGAATCACTCTTGAAAAAGGTTAGAATTTGTCCACAGAGGAGTATTATTCAACTTTGCTTTTTGACTCATTCCATGTGACCCAAGGGGCCTGCCTCCCATTCTAATACCTCCACGGACACTTGTTTTCTTTAATGAGACACTTCATCTGCACAGAAAGGGGCTTCCTAGTTCAAGGATGGGGAGCAGGGAGCCACTGGGAATGTCACACTTGGTCTAGCAGTACAGGGACTGCCACTTAGGAGGCTCTTACCTCTCTGATTACTCCTTCTCTGAGCCTTTCGTGAGCTCCTTGACTTCCTCCATTTCTAGTTATTTTTCCTTGGGCATGTGCCTCAGCCCTCTTCTTCCATCCTGATGACCTTGCTGGCTCCCAGTGTTCCAGCTACCTGTGGAATTGGGGCTCCCTGATCTACATCTCTTGCCCAGCTTTTCCTCAAGCTCCAGCTCCCTTATCCACGGAATACTCCACATCTCTACCTTAAATCATCACTAGCTCCTGTTCACCAGCTCCCCCAAACTTACTTTCTTTCTGTGTTTCTTGTCTCTGTGGCACCGTGAGTTTACAAAGCTAAGAAACCTGGGAGTCATGACTGATCCCATCCTCACTCCATCCTCATTCTGTTCATGAAATCCTGTTTAATTCACTCATTTGGTCCTTTGGTGAATAAATTTTAAACACACAGTATGTGCCACTCATTTTGTTATGTATCTACTGGGGAGCAAAAATAGACAAGGTCTCTGCCCTCCTGGCTCTGGTTTGGGGAAACATACAAATAATGTTATAAAAGAAATGTACACTGAATTATGAGAGTGTTTAGTTTGGGGACAGGGAAGGCTTCCCCAAGGAAGGGACATGCAAGAGGAGAGCTGGAGGGTGCCACAGGAATTAACTTGATCAAGGGCATGGGGGACAGACAGACCAGCGTGTAAGCCCTTAATGAATCAGGAGGAGTGAGGAATGGCCTTCAAGGAAATGAGTGGCCTTCAAGAAAGGCCACTATGGCTTCAGGGTAATGAATTATAGAAATACTGATGGGAGAGGAAGGCAGAGCCCCTACTGTTCAACACCTCGTTAGGATTTTGGTCTTTTAAGAGGACAGAGAAGACTTTGAAGACTGTTAAGGCAGGTGGGGTGGGGGTGGGGAAGGCTACGTGGTGACAGATTTGTATGTGAAAGTCCTTCTGGCCACAATGTGGAGAATGGATTAGGTGCAGCCTGAGTGCAGGTGGGGGAGGCAGTCCGGCTGGCTTCCTCCTGGCCAGTCTCATGGCCATGAGACTTTCGTGGTCTCTTGTCTTGTAGCAGAAGACACCTCTACTGTTGTCCCCTGGCAATTGACCTTCAGTGTGGGTGTCTGATTATCTTTCAACATCCATCAACAGAAAAGAATATGGGTGATCCTTCATTGAGCTCAGAGTAAAGTTTAAAGTCCTTAGTTTGATCTACGAGTCCCTTCTCACCTGGCCCACCACTGTCAGTGGAGAACTAAGGATAACCAGGATAACCATGACCCCTGCTAGTAAAGAACGGGCAGGACTCAGAGACTTGGGATTCAGAAGGTCAAGGACAAAGGCTGTTGTGAGGATGTCTTGGTAGGAGAACCATGAGACTGTTCTTTATATTCTACCTGCCTGGAGCCAGAATGAATCCCACAGTAAAAGGAGTAAGGCTGAGTCTCCAGTCAGGGCTAGAGCTGGAAGGGGATAGAGAAAGGGACCCAGGCAGCTACTGCCATCGCCCACACGTTCAACAAGCACTATCACAGCCGTGGCTTGTCCACAGGGCACACACAAGTCAAGGACACTCAAGGTTAACCCCATGAACCCCAAAGAACTGTGATTGCTTGGGAGATCCACCCCACTTCAAGGTGAGTGAAATCTCAACATCAGTGTGGTTCTGGGAGCAGCTTTGTAACTCTAAGGAGGGGCTCTGAAGTCCATGACTGTGTACAGTTCACATGGTAACCAGAAGACTATGACATATTCAGAGGGCAGTGAGGTCACAGAACACTGGCCTTAAAGTAAGTGAATCACCTGGGCCTCATTTATTTTTAAAAGAAACTTCTGAGAAGAGCTTAGGACAATTTTTTCCCCTGAGTGCCATTTCCCAAAGGTACTCACAAAACAATAAGGTGTGACTGTAATGGCTGCACTGAGTTGTCTTTTGGACAGTGTTAGAAGGGACATAAAGAAGGTGGACAGAGAACTGAGGCAATTGAGATGCATCGACGAATTCAGCACACGATGCCTGTGCGACCTGTACATGCACCCGTACTGCTGCTGCGACTTGCACCCATACCCGTACTGCCTGTGCTACTCCAAGCGATCGCGCTCTTGTGGCCTGTGTGATCTCTACTACCCATGTTGCCTGTGTGATTACAAGCTTTACTGTCTTCGCCCATCTCTCAGAAGTTTGGAGAGAAAAGCCATTAGAGCCATAGAGGATGAAAAGAGAGAGCTTGCCAAGTAAGAGAACTTATTTTTAGACTTTTACAGTTGGTATTTTAGGCTTATAAGTTGGAGTAAGGTGGGGGCGGGGGGAAATGTGACGGTTGAAACTTCAACAAAGATTAAAGGGTTCAAGATAATGGCTCTGGTGGCTTAGGAAAATTTTAAGGAAAGAGGAGTGAACAAGTCCATGATGGGAATTTTAAGATTCTCAAAAGACGATGTAATGATGCCGATTGGCAAGGTCGTGGGCGGTTTGGAGCGGGAGTGCCAACGTGATAAATAATGTGGCTTTAATGAGGGGAAGAAACAGGGGGTGTCATTAAAAAGCCATTGGAAGCAGCAAACTAAACATTTTTCCTGGTTATGAGTAAAGTGATTTGAGTATATTTGGACTTACAGAAAATGACTACAGGAGAAGTAATAATAATTGATCAAATCCTTAATGTTTGCCAGAGGCTTTAAGAGCCAGGGAGCAAATTGAACAATAGAGGCGTTTCCTTGGCTACATAGCAACACTTTCCTCCCATCCCCCTACCCCAGACAACTCAACACTCATCTGGAGTTGGGTCTATCATATTGCTCCCAATCCAACGCTAGCAAGGGTTGTGCAAATGAACTAGAGGACCAAGTCACAGCTTTTGAAATAGACCTGAAAGCGTTTTTAATTGAACTGGGTAATTTTTAAAAGCCACTTTTTAGATATTTTGTTTTTAATTACATTTTCTTTTATGCCTGGAGGAAGCTTTCCTTTTCTAACTCTACATATGCCATTTAGTCGGTTACATTGATGAAAAAGCTGGGTAAAAGCACTGTCCCTGGTTATACAAATGATGTACATCCATACATATACAATATGTATCTATGAATATGAATAATATGTAGATATAAAAAGGATTGATGAAGTATTTTTACATATTGATGTATTAAGTGAAAAAACAAGGTACAGAAAAACTGTCCAATATGTACTATTTTTAAAAAGATGGGCACAGGTACATAAATAAGTAGGTTGGTGGATAGATTGGATAGATTACAGTCTTTTGACAACAGTTGATAGTCACATTTCATTGGAAAGGGCAATAGGACACTTATTGTCTAGGTCATCAGACAACCAAGGTCAGCAACAGACCTCCCATAGTCTGGGATGGGGCTATCACCTATAAATTCATCTACACTGTTTTAAAACCAGTGTTGATTTATACTTATTAAGGAATCAAGTTATGTAAATTGCTCACATTGTGAGGCAGGGACTGTTTTTAATATTTAGTCCAAATTAAGGAGTCCTTGTGAGCAGACCTGTGTCCACTCTCCCCATACCTTTGAGTACTGGATTAGCCTTGATCCAAGTCATTTCAGCCTTGGTCTTCTGGCTGCTCCGCTGTTCCCAGATTCTGCAGGTCGAGAGTCCTCTCTGTCCCTTGCCATCTGGGCTCTTCGTGACTCCTTCGGACATCCCTATTTCTTAGTGTGCCATAGTCACAACTTCAAGCTTAATTCTTGGCAGTGTAGTTGAGACAAGAGGTAATGCTTTCTTTGGTTTGTGATGCTTTTCCTGACAGTGCCTGGGTCTTTGCCAATTTTTTTCTGCGCCTGCGGCAGTATGTGAAGCTGCTGATGTCTTTACATTAATTCCTGGATCTCTGAACCAATAATTCCAAGTCCATTTTAGAAATGACCTCAGGCTTACCCCCTTTTATCTCTTCCCAGCCACTTTTCTTCCAATTCATACCACCCTGTGAAATGTCTGTGCTCTATTTCTGACAGCTTGACATTTCACTATCTAGAAGGGCTTAGTGTCACTTGCAAACCTAAATATTCAATTTTCCTGAATATGGGTGAAAATGTTAAGCCATGATCCTAGCCCCAATCCCAGAGAACTCCCACTGCTAATGTTTTTTTCTACAAATAAAATGCCTCTTTTTTCTTATCTCTAAGTTAGCTCCTGATTCATGACTATATAGACCCAGAAATATCATATTGATTCAATTTTTTAAAAACAATATTTAGTGTGAAATCTTGCCCAAGGCCTTTTGAGTTTAGAACTCATATTCACATGACCTTTCACCCCTTCAAAGAATGCCAAGGTGTGGGTTGGTTATGACATATCCTTTCAGATGTCAGCGTGTGTTGTCCTGAAGGTTCTTTGCCCAGTGAGAAAGTAAAGACTCCCTGGTCTATAGTTGCCTCCACCCCATTGAAATTGTTTTTCTGTATGAGAGTCCATCTGCTCTGTCTCTGGGTTCTCCTTTAATAACTGGCAAGGAGCCTTGGCCAACTTCCCCCCATATATTTCTTGAGCATTCCCAAGCATATGTTATTTCTGATGCGCGCGCGCGCGTGTGTGTGTGTGTGTGTGTGTGTGTGTGTGTGTGGCCTAGAAGTTCTGATCTATTTCCATTGTTCATTGAGCAGCTACTTCAAAGGACCCTTAGGCAGTGTCTTCCTTAGTAGAGAGCCAAGTAAGCACTTTTGTTGTGTTAGCTTCTTTAATATTTCCTTTTCCTCACCCAATTAGCTCTTGCACCCCAAGCACTAGCAGTCCCCCGACTCTTCTTTCCTCTGCTGGATTTAGGACTAAGGGAACCCAGCTGGTTTCCTTTGTGAGAAGCCACGCCATCAGCCTCATTTCAGTCTGCACCTGATCCCGCCCCCTCCCCCGCCCCCACCATTCGTGGGCTTCCCTATCCTCTCATCTAAAACTGGAGAAACAGACAAAAGCCAGCCCCTCCTCAGTCCTGCCCGCAGGAGTTTATTCTCTGATTAATGGATGCTCGTGTGGCTCTGATGCCTGGCACCAGTCCTGGTGAACACAAGAACCTTGATTTGCAGCTGTACCCTGGACTGTGACCTAGGAACTAATCCTGAGACCATTTCTATCTGCTCACTCAAGTGTCAGTGGTTGGCCTGAAATCAGTGAAAAATTCCCTTAAAAATCCCCACACCAGGGGCATCATCAAAACTTCAAAAATCTGCCTTCTCATTTCTCTTCTTGATTCCTCATTCAAGCTCTTAGTATGAGGTTTTGATTGAATCCACTCTTACATGGTGGGGCTGACGACGGGCCTCATGGTGAGCTCTCTGTGGTTCAGTGGTGGCTTGCCCAGGTCTAAGCCCTCAGAGAAATTTCCCGGAGGTCAGAGCATAGCTAAACTGTGCAGAGGGCAGAGAGGAAACTTGGGGCTTTCTAGCTGGTGAAAGCCTGGCTTTCCCACAGAGGGGAGAGCCCCTTTGTTTCCATCCACGTCCTATGCAGAGGTGGAAGTGAGTTGGGCACCTCGGCCCCTCTCATCCTAACCTCTTCATACCCATGGTCCTGGGAACCCCATCACTCCATGGCTGCGCGGGGTAGGTGTTGCTGCCCATCTAGGCCAAGTGCATTGCTATTATTTTATTCGATGTCATCGTTTAATGATATAAGACTGAAAGCCTCAGATTTAGGACAAGTCCATGGAAGGTGGAGCCTGGCACAGCCTGATAAAGAAGTCTTACTCCGTATCAGTGCAAACCCTGTGCCTTGCACTCATCCTTGTGACATCCCCATTGGGCAATATTGTCACGGGCATCTTAGAGACAATGGAACAGATCCAGAGGCAATGGTCGTGATCACTAGGGGGTGATAAAGGCAAGACTCGAAGCTGTGTTTGCCTGAGTCTGGAATCCATGAGCTTAACCACCTGGTCAGTGGTTTTCAAAGTGTGGTTCCTGGACCAGCATTTAGCAGCATATCTGGAACTTGTTAGAAACGCAAATTTGCACCTCCGCCCCTGACTTACTGAATCTGAAACTCGAGCAGTGGGACCAGCCATCTGTTAGCCAGCCGTGCAGGGGAGTCAGATGCACCTGTGCTGTGCTGCCCAGCTCCCTGCTGAGTGGTATTGTCTTCAGTAACAATCCAAAAGCCTGGAGAAGAGAGAAGAGGCAGGAAGGAAAGAAGAGAAGGGAAGAATAAAGGAGAAGAGAAAGCAAAAGATGTGATTGAAAGGAGGAATCAAGTTCAAGTGGGTCTTTGGATGGGGCTAAATTCAGGAAGGAAAGCAAGCACTCCAGTGAAGCCTGGAGGGAGGCCTGTCTCCCTGGGCTCCCTGGCAGAGACAGGCATTACTGATGTCTTTATTACTTCATTCATGACCAAGTTGACTCTGATTTATATATTTGCGAACATGGCTGACTATATAGCTCATTGCTGTGGTCAGCATGTTTCACATTCAGGAGCTTGGTTGTACATACAGGTGAAATTCAACTTCCACAAGGAGAAGAGGTGGTCACACACAGTGACAGACACAGGCACTGCTGTCATTGTCTTTCCCTAGCTTTCCTAAGAGGCTTGTGCAAAGAACCAAAGGGGCCGACTTGCCCATGTTTACCGTGGCTAAGCTCCACCTCCATGGTAACTAGTATAGAAGGCATTCTCCTTTTGCTCAGAGCTCCATAGAGCCAGGGAAAATTCCGTGTGG